CAAACTCACACGGATAAACCAGCTCTCTCACTAATACTATTGCAACAGTGGGAACCAATCACGACCAAATCGAACAGAACTCCGTTCTGTTTCTATGTATCGGGCCAGAGCCTAAGCATGACAATGAGTGCAAGTGAGAGAAGCGTCGCAGGCGGGCATAACCACAGCAGCATTCAGTGTGAGAGGAATTTTTAGTGTCAACAAAAAACAAAAATAGTTAATAATAATAAAAAAAAAAAGTTTTATTTTCAAGAAATGTAATAAAAGCATAGGTGAATGAAAGTTCTTTAGCTTTGCGTAGGTTATGCATTTTATAAAATTAATAAAGCGTTAGGAGCTGGCGAAGGTGTCCTTGAAGTGGTCACATGGATGTAGGGACGGCAAAGGTGGGTCTGCGACCAGGCAGCCAGCAGCAACTACAATAATAACAACAACAACACCAACAACAACACCAACAACAACAGCAACAGCAGCAACAAAGCACACATCCTGTATGTCAACTGAATAATTCGTTGCATGCACAAAAGGCATGCACTCACATCCGGTTTCCTGTCATTCTTTTCGCCACAGAGCGTCGACGAGGTACGCAACGGGAAGAGCGCAGTGAAGGAAGTGGGAGCTGCGCAGCAAGAGCGAGAGAGCAAATGACCGGCTTGCAATTTATGTCTATGTGTTGGGGGCTGCAGCACGTTCTTGTTGCTGTTGTTGTCTTTATGGCGTGTTTGGTATTTGTTGCAACTTTTGTTTTGAATTCCTGTGGCCTTGTCACACGCTCCAAGCGCCTGCAGTTAAATTTATGTTTTAACAAAAACACACACACACACACACATGTATATCCCTTAACGAACAATGAATGCATAAAAGTGTTGAAACACACATCGCGAACTCTGTGTGCAATGTCTCTCTCGCTCTCTTTAACAGAACCATAGAAATGCATGAAAGAGTAACAGCTAGTAAGTGAGTGAGTGTGAGAGAGAGAGAGATGGGAGGGAGTGAAAAAATCAAGTACAGTGACGGCCAAATGCCAGCACCACGTCTCTTGTAAAGCAGCGTATAATCCACTGATTGCTCCCAAGGTTCAGCTTTCAACAATGAAGGACACTCCAAAGGAGTTGGACAGTGTGCAGGAGGTGCCGGGCCAATGGGAGTGGCACCAGGCAGGGGCATGGCTATGGCCTGTAGCTGTCGGGTCAACGGATGCTGTTGCTCTTTTGTGTCAGGGCATTGAAGTGGGTATGCACAGCTTGACAAGCAAGTTGACAGCGGGTGATATTTACTGTATTACTATTCCTTTAATATAATTTCAATAATTGATCTGCTGTAGAGGAAAATATTAGCTCATACCATTCTATTAAAATAAGTTTCTATTTTAATATATGTATTTAGTTTGCTCTTCAAAATAAAAGTGTAACTCAGCTTCTACTTAACTCTGTGGGGTTTTGTATTTTATTTTCGCTGCCCTCTGGATGCTGCTGGAGACTTCGTTTTGATGCAGTCTGCAGTTGTCGCTCGAGAGACCTGCCACAGTTTCGGCATTAATTTTGCATATGAATACGGAATATGGACAACGGGATTTGTTGTAGCTGTTAGCGGTATGCATGAGAGTGTTGTGGCTGTTGGAGTAGTGTCGGCAAACGCGCCTGTTGGGTCAGGTCGTGCCTCTCTTACACCTTTCTACGCTTGTCGCTCTGCCAAGCAAAAGTCTAAGAATCGTCGCATTTGGGCCTCAATTTTCACATTCATTTCGTTTGCAGCTTCGGACATGCTCAATTAGCCAACACTGTCGGCTCATTAGCAACTCGAGTCTGCTACGGAATGCACTCCAGCAATTCGAGCAGCCCCAAACGCATGCAGATGCAGAGAGGTGCGAGAGAGATGCGAACAATAAACTGCTAGCCCTCTCTTTCTCCATTGCCTTCTCGAACGTCGGCCAGAAAAAGGGGAGTCAAACTATCGTTGGGCGGGCTTTGATTTGTCTGAGCTATATGCAGAGCACTCTATAAATGGAAATAGGAGGGAAGCAATTCTGTATTTGGTTATTTCTTAATTACATTTACCATTATCTATTACTATGTTATTCATTAATTATTACGAGTGTCATGATTACTACCATAATCTTGATCATTATCACAAAACATCATGCTTCTTAATATTTTTATTGGTATTATTGATAGATTTTTGTCTGCTTTATATTATTATTTATTATATTTTAAAAATATTATCAATATTTCAGAGAAATGAAAAATTATATATTGAATGAATATATATTAATTTCTAATAATACTAGTCCATCAATAATAAAGAATGCTAATTAATTTTTATCGTAGTGATTTACAATTGTCTTCATTAGCCTCTTCATAATTATCATCAGTATTATTAGATCAATGCAAACTCAGTTAATATTTGCCAATTCATCGAATCGATTTAGAAATTCAATTCAAACGCAAGGCTAAGCAAATGTTGCATTTCGCTAGAATAAAATGTGTAGCGCAAAAGTATGCAGTACTTAGGAAATAAGCCGTAGAACGCCCGTAAATCGTCTCAATAAATTTTCAAATCTTCTGCCATTTGCATTTTGTCATATCGCTCGGGCTTCATTAGGCAACTCCCAAGTAAATCAACATAGCTGCCAGACAAGCACAAAATTTTCAAATGATATACCACAAGTTACCTGAACTGTGTGTGTGTGTGAGTGTGTGTGTGTGTGTGAGTGTGTGTGTGTGTGTGAGTGTATGTACGTGTGTGTTAAAGTTGCCAACGCAGCAGCAACTCATTGTCGAGTGCTGTTGTTGCTGTTGCTGTTGCTGCTGCATTTAAGTAAAATGAATTGCCTGCAATTTATTTTTGTTGCTTATCATATAAATTGCACTTGCCTGCAAGTCATTATTTGGCACATTTGCGCTCAATGGCTGCACATTGCCTGCCCGCCCACAGTCGAAATTTGTGGCAAGTGGGCGTGCCAACGTGTGCGTGTGTGCGCGTGACGAACCGGAAGCCCACAGATATGCCGGCAAGAACAATAGCAACAACAATTTGGCCAACTGGAGATGCTGCCAGGTGGCCTTTGCACTTGGCTGCGTTTTTAAGCCAAAAGGAGGAGCCAGCCAAAGGGCAAAGGTTGCAAAATAGCCATTGGGGATATGCCCGTAACTGCCACTTGAGCAGTTGCTGCTCTTTTATTTACCACTTGCAACTGCCGCACAAATAAATTTCCGGTTTTTTTTTGCTTTTCAGTGAACCAAACTGGAAAAAAAAAACAACAACAACAACAATAAGAACTGATAACTATTTCCTTTATATATGAATTTTTCAGCTATTTATTTATCTTTTTCTGATATAAGATTAGATGGAAAACTATTACGGAATATTCTCGACTTGTTTTGTTGCGTATATGAATATTTCTAGCTTTATAAAAGCGAAAACAAACGGCTGATAAGAAACATGGAAAAGTTCAACAAATACGAATTTGAATTTATTGCTCCATCAAACATTTTGGCTGTCAAGCTATGAAAGGGTTTCTCTTAGCAGTACGAGCCACATATGCTTTATCTAATCAATACAAGATTTTATTTATAAAAATAAAACTCAAATCATTCTTAGGGGAAATCTCTACAGCTTCCACATTCCACATTGACTACTTTTCAGTTAGCCAATGGAACTAAAATGATAACAGAAATTGTGCAGGAAATGCAATTGCAATTAACATGTCGGATTATTGGGCTAGATTAGAACGATAATCACAAATTGCGCAGTACAAAAAAAAAAAAAATATATATATATATATATATATATATATATATAAATAAAATAAAAATAAAAATAAATAAACAAATAATGGAAATGAGAAATAAATATAAACAATTCAAATGGGGTCTGCGCCCGTGAAATCGGAGAGAGACCAGAGCACAGATTTCATACAATATGACAAACTTGACCCACTAAAGCACATCCTATCAGAATATTTTATTCACCTTGCCAAGCAAATCGTTTTGTGTACGCCAAGCGCTTGGCTATTCAAACATCAAACTGAGCTCATAAGTAAATCGAAACATTTTTTTCATTTGTATGTACTGTGCACTCGCAATGAATTTTATATTATTAGCACACACTTTTGAAAAGTTGAATTTCACAAATATTGTAAATGTGGTTGTGGTTAAAAATTGTGCACATAATTTTTGTTGTATATTGTATTTTGTATTGTGATTCTAGCTTATTATCTAAATATTTTGATAGTTGACTTCCACAGCATCCGAGTAGCCTGCAGCACCCGTTAGAATGTATTTCAAGTACTGTGTAAGTATGTATATAAGAATATACATATTTATATTACTCTCACTATTTTATTCGTTCTCTTTATTTCTCTCCCACTCACTCTCTCTCTTTCTATCGCAGTTGCTGCTGTTATCGTTGCTTCTAGCTGGCGCTAGCGCTAAGCCGCAGGCAGAGCCGCCTTGCTGGAAGTGGCAACCGCAAATTGTCTGCGACTAAAACACTGATGCTTGAACATATACTGGAATTTACTGCTCGCTTTTCCCCACCAAGAGCCAGAATATGTTGGGAGTCGTTTATTTTTTGTAATTATCTCGTACTGTTTGCAA